AGAAAAAAAAAAAACCTTGGGTGTAAACTGAAGCCGCGAGTACGAGTATACTGAATTCAACGGCGCCATTGGTTTTTTCTCGCATTATCAATTTGCGAGAAAATGAACAAGATGCCGACCCATCATGCATGAAATTGCTCAATTTAGAACCTCTGAATATTAAAAGCTTTCGATGTGGTTTGGACGAATTTTCATCATTTTTATACCCGAGAGAAACTATTTTTTCGGTCTACCCTAGTACACAGTAGACCGCATAGCTTAAAAAGTTGGCACAACGTAATCCATAAGGGCTTTTTTAGAAAAGGAACTGTTAGGTTAGGTTAGGTTAGGTAGCATAGCAGGAAAACTTGTGTACCTCGGGACAATATTTTTACAGAGTTCTTTTGCAAATAATATCAAGAACATAGCAAATTTGAGGTGCATGGGTGAAACAGTTTTTATTTTATAAAGTGTTATTAAAAAAAAAAAAAACACGGGAAAATCTTGATGGATTTACGGCGTTCCTACTTAGCATTGCAGTATGAGAGACAACTCTTATTTTTGCTCTGGCAAAAGTTTGCAACAGGCCCATTCCTGAGGTTTGTAAGAAACAGCATTTGTGTCGCAAGTCTCCCTATGCAGACAGGTTTTTTAAGGAAGAGCCTGATATTTTAGTTCCTGATCGCAAAATGTAGTCCATTTGATCGCCAGCACGAGCGAAGAGTGCCGGAAAACAGGCGATCTCATCGGCCAAGAGCGACTGACACGAGAGTGGAGTCTCCAGAATGAGTTGTCGTCACCCGGACTGTTTGGGTCGGAGCCTCGCAACGTGGGACCGTCAACCTGTTGGCAGAACGAGGAGTTGACACACGCAATCGGTTGACCGTTCATCCCGCAAGAAGGAACGATCCGCCTCTGAATTTTATCGATCTCCCCTGCCCCGTCACCCCCTCCCCTTCCCCCTCCCCCGCGAGATGCTCCTCATTATGCCGGCAATGAGCCACGCCACCTCGCGAAACCGGGTTAGCGGGCTGAAAAAACGCGGGTCCAGTTATGCGCCGTTTCGGCTCTTTATGGAGAGTTGTTTACAACGCCGGCTTTTCTGCATGGTCGTAGGCCGCTGTTCGAGTCACAATTTAAATACTCGCCGGCCACCATCCACCGCCGCATTGGCAGTTCGATTGAGGGAGAATCCATGTTATGATGGACGCAGAAAGGAGGAAAGTGAGAATTATTTCGTTTTGGGTTAATATGCATTCCTGTGTGGGTAAGGGTCAGTTCATGAATACATGAAATTCCTGCAAGGATTATAAATTCTGAATGAGTGATGGTTTTTGGTGAACGTTTGGCTTAGAGAGTCGTAAAGTTCATCCAATTGTGCAGTAATGTAGAAACATTTTTAGCTGCCTCATCTAGTTAAAATTAGTTTTAAAAAAATCTGATTGGCACTTAATTGCCTTAACTATATATTATTGCTCATCTATAAAAAAAACTCCTCCTGCAAATAGAAGAGAATGGCAAATATTATGTGTTCCTAAAAGGAGCCAAGTATAGTGATACCTTTTTGATACATCGATTATGAAACTGCAGAAATGCGTACCTCGATTTACAGCGTTGTAGACTTCCCGTAAATTTACTCTCTACATACAAAACTACAAAACGTCATTTTTTGGGTATTTCAGAGGGTTTCCTTCTTTTTATACAGAATATTCTGTGGAAACTTCAAGCCATGTTTTTGGTTCGGTCTCTTTCCAAAAAATAAAATAGGAGAGAAAATTTCAGAATGATTTTTTGAAGACAGTGAAATTAAGTTTAACCGTCAACGTGTAGTCCGTTTCTCTATTTTTCAGTACGCAATGTTCAAGGGTTTGTTACGCTTGATAAGTATTGCCAAAGACAGCTATGATTTGACTTACATCAAAATGCCTCGAATTGGGGTACTTCGTTGACCTCAAAACACTTCACAGTTGCATTGATTATCAACCGTTCTGAACCTGTGACGACGGCTTTAACCGGTTTTCGGAACGTTGACGCGCAGGAGGAAGAGAGCAAAGCTTGATTTCCATTCCTCCTCAGTGAAATAAAAAAAAAATATGATCGGTTAAATCAATGATACGAGTCAAGTATTCAACATCAAACTCTTGGTAAAATTTTTCACACTGCAATGGATTTTACTACAAAACAATGATTTCCAAACAACAGCGTGACAAGAGCCTCCAGGAGTTTGTTGTTGATTACTCGTTTTTATAGGGTTAAATGGGCGTATTTCTGCCAAACGGAACTATGTGCATCAAGACATGAGCCCTAAGACTCATATGAATATGCATAACAGGGGTTACGTCTTAATGCACATCGTTCCGTTTGGCAGAAATACGCTTTGGCTCAGCTATAGCAAGTTGTTTATAGTTTGAACAACACACGGTGGGAAATGAACATTGCTCGATTAAGAAGCTTGCTGAAACCGTTGTAGTCCACGATTTGACTCACGTAGAGCTTAAAGTTTCTTATGAGCGGGCAGTTCAAATTCCTCGTAACCAATGTGAAATGAAAACGTTAATATCTTTGTTAGGAGTTGATTTCGGTAATTTTCGTTGCGCGAATCGTGTTTTACGTAAAATTCTGGTCAAGAAACATGTATCAGAATGCTTAAATTCATACCTTGTTTAGTGGTCCATTACGTCATTCTTTAAATATATCTGTCAAATAAACCGAAAAAACAAGGCGGGACCCCATCGCAGCTGCCATGGAGAGCGGCTCTGGGTCTGTTTGCTGAGTATACGTGTGGGGAGAGAGGTTGAATGGTTGATAGGACCAAAGTCGATTATAATGCTCGCCTACGACACTGGCAAACGGAGGACCCAGTGGAAGTGACATTGAAAAACAGTTACAAAATATAAATAGACAATGCGGTCGCGCTTCGCCACCGCTTCTGCGCATACACAGACACTCCTCGGAGTTTCTTTACGGCACATTCTGCCCTTCGATTAGATATTCTAGTATTATTTTTTTTTTAGAATATCGGCTTTTGGACGGATGTCATCAATTTTTGCTAATCTTTAAGACTGGATCCTCAAAACAAGATAATGTGACTCGCGCAACTGACCCATTGATTTTTGAAAATCTGAATTTCATGAATGGTGATGAAATTCTTTCTAAATATTAATTTTCAAATTTTAAGCATGTTCTCGATCAAGGTATATCAGCGTTTGCACACAACCTTAAAGCAGGAAATAAAGATGAGGAACAATTTAACTTGAAATTTTCGTTAGAACGGCTAGAATTCTATTATTAACATAATTTTTTTAAAAACCGGGATTCCAGTTATCGCATACAAAAGGCCAATGAAAAAAATAAGTAGACTGGATGTTCATTGCATTATAGAATTAGTTTTTTGTCTCATAAAACGATCAAATCTCTCCTTTTGTGCGACTACTTCACACATTTCGTTCCGCTTATAGTCATGCTACTCATGTCATCTTCATAAAGCTTTGGAAGTGCGGCGAACTGTAAATGCTTCATGTAAACATCCGTGTCACAAAAATCTGCCTCTTCATAACGGAAGATTTTTTTCCGTGAGTGTATCAAACTTATATTTATACGTGTGATATGAACGTATGCTATGAAACGCTTGAAATACGAGTATACATCGAACATCTCTTGAAAGTAAATACCTTCCGTCTATACCTGCAGATTTCCAATAACTTTGGCGGAATAAGCTTTACCTAAGTTATAACTTATTCCATCTAGGAAAGGGGCGAAAAACGATGCGTAGCTGAGAGTTTCGCAAACTGTTAACGTGTGTGGGCAAGACTTAGTACCTAAATCATCATTAATGACGTACATATTTTGCCAGAAATTCTTTGTAAAATAATTTATAACGGTGTATTTATTGAATGTATCATTTTTTCAAACAAGGGCGTAATACGGAACACGAAAAAAATATCATACCTTAAAATTAAGTATAAATCTGTTTTAACAAAAATATTTATGTAATATACTTCTACACTAAAAAAAAACATAAATTAATGAATTATTGAGATACAGTAGAAGTTTGCTTGAAATATTTGATGTGAAAATTTCTTCTTTGTTTCTGCCACAAACAAAAAGGCTGTATAGGCATTGGGAGTATATTGAATAAGAACAAATTCGATTCAACAGACTAAAATTGATCAAAATATGTCCTTACTACCTGACATCTCTTCATGATAGTATGTTCCGTTTAAAAAGAATATGATATCAAATTCAATGAGTGATTGAAATATCTCAAACAGAGGAATGGTGATTTTTTAAATTTGCCAACCTTCGTTGAATTCAGCATAAGACTGAATTGCTTGTGAAGTATGTAAAACACCCATTCAAGCCCAATTTAAATGTAAATTATAAAACCGTGCAATAAAAAACTGCCAACTTCAAACGAGTCCTGAACTGCAAGGCTCCGAACGATACCATACATTCTATACATTCTATCTATCAAGTGTTGATGGGCACTTGGGAAAATGATGAATAGTATCAACGATGATTCAATGCGCCTGACCGGGTAGGCAAATAGAACTAAGATGCGGTCTACGTGCATATCAACTCAATTTGAAGGAACTCGTGAAGTTTTCATAAATATCTAACATAGTAGAATGAGGAGAAAGTAGGAAGTATATTCATCAATCACTAACTTGAAATAAGAAATAAAGGGGGATTATGTTTGGTATGGAACATATCGACGGTGAAACTACCAAACCACGTATCTCGGTTTGCGACGTCGCAGACTTCCTGTCATACTTTATTTTTTAAATGAAAAACTACTCAACATCCAGTCTTGAAAATTTCTGTGATTTTTCCTCTTCGTGCGGAGAAAATTCCGTGAAAATTTCAAAGAATGATATTGATTTGGTCTACTTCAAAAAAATAAAATGTGAGGGTAGATTTTTAAACACCGCAAACGAGATACGTGGTTTGGTAGTTTCACCATCGATATGTCTTTGTGTGTTTTATTTATCGTGTTAATTAAATGAAAAAGAAGTACGATGTTGGAAATAGTCCTTGGTTAGTTTATATATTTTTGTCACAGACCGTAATTCCACTGATTGTTAATTTACTGTTGATTACTTCTTATTCGCTCGTTTTAAACGTCAACGGAGCCCAATCACGGGTTTTTCTCTTTTTTGTTGGGTCATGTCAAAAGGCGGTTTGATGTGAGAGTGAGCTTCGTCTAGCGGATAACGTCTGTCCATGAATGATTCCTAAAAATGGAGCAGAAAACAGTCGTTATATGTTATTATGAGAAGGACGAGTTTTACACTAATTAGTATAGCGGTGATCGAGTGGATTTCACATTGAAATGAAATCTAATCAAATGTTTACATCTCTGGGTTTGAGCTTTGTAAAATGAGCTCCATAAGCTATTGAAGGCTGAATAAATTTGAAAGGTTCAATTAATGGAACAAAAGTTTCCTCGACTTCATAATATAGATCCTTAAAGAAAACTGTCTGTTTTTGAATGATTGCATTGGTAATGATTTAGGAACACTACCTTTAACCTCTCATATGAATCGTTCCTTCAATTTTTTGGGTTCAGTCAGAGAGACTTTTTATGACACAATCAGGGAGTTTCGATTTTTTAAAAAATACGTACATTTAATTTTTCTTACAACTTCAGCAAAAGCAAATGTATTTTTTATTCAAGCACTGCTTTTTGAATGGTTACTAACCATAGTCTGACGCCACAAATGTGCGTATTGGTGCACGACGTATCTCTTCTGTTTATGACGCATTGTATCCCATGTATCTTCCAATTTTGAATATACGTATTGTAGAGTCTTCTTCTTTTCAGTTCCTACATTTTTAAAATTAAAAATTTAAAAATTTAAATTAAAGCTCATAAGTATGACAAAAAACAAACCACGAAATACTGGCCCAAAAATCACAATGGAATCCTGATGGGCGTTTAGGATGTAGATCAAAATGATAAACCTAGTTGTAGTATTACGGTAACTGTGGATCTAAATGTATACAGGGCGTTTATACCTCCTGGAATAGGAGTTTTCTCGGTAGTTTTAGGTCACACGAAATCAAGAACAGCGAGATCGATCAGAGATTCGACCTCAAAGAATCCAAATTTTATGCCCCCTCCCCCCCAATCACCATGAGGGGTGAACGAGGGGTCAATATTAAAAATCGGGGCTCCCCTCCAAATCGCCAATTGATTGCGTCCAAATTGAAACCTCATTTGACCTCCAAGAGTTAAAACTGACCCATTTACGCCTAAAATTAACCCTCTTGAGAGAACGGCGTGGCGGTTCTCCCTCCAAAAGTTGCTCTTCGGTCGCGAAATTGACGTGGATTCTCTAAAAAAAGGAGGTATTCCCGGTAATTCACACCAGAGCATCCGAATTTCATAGTCTCCGGGCTCTCCTGACTTCCCTTGAAAAGTTTCCGGGGAGGGGGAGCTGTACTTAAAATTCGGATATTCGGAGGTTTAAGAGGGGTGGGAGAGTCGGATATCCGAGTCGTCGGGATCAGAATTGGTCGATTTCTTGCTTTGGTACCAAGTCAGGGAGAGTCTTTCCATTATTTTTCTTTTTGATTTTCCAAATTTTGTGGGTAAATCCAAAATTCAGGTGTGGCTCCCCGCTCTTAAACTTTTCAAGGGAGGTAAATATAATTCGGAGATCATGAAATTCGGATTCTTTGGTATAAATTACATGAGTTGATTGGGGGTCAATTAAGGTTTAAAATCATATACTCTTCCATTTTCATGCAATCAATTTGCGATTAAGATGAGAACTCCGAGTTTTAAAATCAACCCCCCCCCGCATTTACATCTTAAGCGTAGCGCGGGGNGCGTAGCGGGGGGGGGGGGGCCTCCGAGACCTCAAAATTCGGATTCTTTAGGGTCGATATCATACGATACCAGTTTTTCCGTAAAAATCTACGTAAAGTCTGCGACCAACTTTGTGCAGGGCACACTGTCTCCATAGGGGGTCATTTTGGACCTAGAGTGGCTAATTTTGGATTTTCAGGCGTCTATTTGAAGTGGCATTTTCCTTAATTTTCAATTTCAATGCACTGGATTTGCAATTCGGTCGAGAACCTCGACTTATAGGATCTTGACACCCCCATCCCCTCCCCTCCTTTATCCTCAAAGGAGGTCTTTGAAGGGGGGGGGGGTTCGGGACCTTGAAATGGACCATGGAATCCTTGGAGTCAACAATCTGTTCAATTCCGCTGTCCTTGGCTTCGTTCGATCTCAAACATCCGAGATAGAAGCCAAGTACGGCCCCGCTTTTCAAAGTGTGCGATTGCGCGCAACCTGTGGACTCCCCGCATATTTGAAAAGTGGCGCGTCAATTTGTATATTTTGCCCAGCGCGCCACTGGAATTGGCGGGAACCAATGAGAGTGAAGTTTCGATTTGTTTACATTCGCGTTGTTTTGATAACCTGCAAAAGAAACGTGGTCCATGTGGAGTCGAGTGTTCAGCAGAGATTCACTCCTGAATTCCGAAGGCAGGACTTACAAAAAATCCTGCCGAATTTCCATCGGAAACTGTCTGGTGCGCAGTCGGGAGCATCGATGTTCCCTTTCTGCAGACTCTAGGCACTCCGCACCCGGAGAAGGATTTTCTGTCAGTCCTCGCCCTCGCCTCAGGCAGAGATTCAGCCCCTGAGCTCTGAAGGAAGGGCTGACAAAAACTCCTGCGGACCAAGACGGAATCTTTTAAAGTGAAACGTCCCTTTATGTAAAAGAAAAATCTGCACAATTGCTCTTATTTTATTTATAGGGTACGGAATTCGAAGTAAAACGACCGTAGGCGTAAGGAATACAAAAAATACTAATAGGAAATTTCAAAATTACTCTTTGGGGCCGTCCATAAATTACGAAAGGCAATTTTTCCGATTTTAATGACCCCCCCCCTCTTCTATCGTTTAAATGCATAATTTAATAAAAAAATGGTGTTGAAACAAATCGGTATTGTTTTAAACATTACTAATCGCTGGTAGGAGATCATGAAAAATAACAGTTGTACCTATTGAAAAAATAACAGTTTTTAAATTCAAAAAGTTCAAAAAAATTACATTTTAACCAAAAAACATTAAACGTCTAAAAAACGAAATTTGGACTAGTAAGTCTTTAAATTAACGGAATTTGGAAGAAACAAAATTTTTGCGTTTGGCTTACGTATAGGCATAGGTAAGGCACCTCTGGACCTCCTCCCGGCTCCCTGTAAGTGCATTAGGTACGTAATTTGCGGACGGTCCCTTTGTAAAGGCATACTTACATTTATTTGTTTATACTGCCCACTAATGTTACATTTATTTCTGTCTTCGGAGTCTGCTTTTTCCTCTAAAAAAAATTATTGGACGGTCTACGTAAGATTAGGGCCCTACACCCTAGGTCCAGAGGTTTCTCTGCAAGAGGAGCCCTTTTCAATTACGTGCGCAAAAATGCACGCCTCACTCTTATTTTATGGGAAAAAGTATTTCTTTACGGCCACTCGCGGCATTTATGACATAATGTGTAATATAATGACGTCAAAATATTGACGAACGGGGGCGCGAACCGCTGACCTCCCACCTCGGAGGCGAGCGTTTTACCCCTCAGCTGCAACTGAAGATGAAAGGTTGCGATATAATTGGTAATACATAAGTGCAATTGAAGTTCTCTCTTTCACCACCAGAGCTGAGAGCATACACGCATCGGTGTCACGCTCCCGCTTACTGATGATCTGCGGCAGGATTTTCTGTAAGTCTAGCCTTCCGGGCCAAGAGTGAATCTCTGCTAAACTCAAACGCCGTCCATGTGGTTGCATCTTCATATTTTCGTGAGTTTGTTGTGAGTAAGTCATTTAAATATTTAAAGATGCCCAATGTTCTTGATTTATTGTGTAAGTGCGGGGTAATTCTATTCGCCTATCTTAACCACATCCCTTCAAAGAATATTCAATTCGGGGCTCCCTTGCCCATGTTAACAAGTCGACCCATCAAGTTGTGCTCTTCAAGTATCTGTAAGTTCTAATAGTTTATTTTTTCCTCCAAACAGTTTCACTAGAACCGTAAAGGTCGGAATTAATGAGGCTTCCAAATTCCAGAAAACTTCAAACCATTTGGGTTCGTTCATCAAGTCATAGCTTATTTATCACTGGGGATTCAATTCTTGTCATGTACCTAGTGGTCTACCCATCTCCCACTGTCTTTTCGTGGCAGCATTTTACCAGTTTATTTATACTCTTGAGCCACCTCAAAGAGGGTTTTCATAGCTACAGGCCAGCTATTGAAGTTTAAAGCAGCCCGCTATGACATCGAAATGTAACTTATTGCATGGTTAAGAAACAGCTAGGTATGGCTTGACTTGTCGTTCAGACATGGTTTCAGTAATCGGCATGCTGAGCGATAAAATACATTTTGCTTGGAAATAAAACCATGATAGGTCTCACAACCAGTCAACTGCAGAGTCTTTGAATGTATTGCAGCCTAACTATTTCTAGTAGGTAATAAACTGACCACTACTCCAAATGAATTTTTGAAAAAGGAAAGTGAGTGACACGTTACTTACTGTTTCACAGCTACTATAATCCATTCGGACTCATTACCATGTAATTATCTTGATGAATCCCCAATAAATTGAAAGATATTTTGCGCTTGTAGAATGAACATATTTTACGAATAGCGCATATCTTGCAATTGAAGATCTAATCGCAGTCTCTGAACTTTAATCAAAATCCATATGTAGGTAATTTCATTTATTGATCCTAGTTTGATGTGAAGTAATTTTTCAGATCTAAATCATGATCTGTTACATTCTCATCAAATACAGGAACTAAGACTAGCTTGTATAAACGTGAGCCGTAAATTTGAAAAATTCTACTTTAAAGATTAGCAAAATCCTTAAAAAATAAGTGAAAAAAAATTAATTCATAACTACCATCAAAATTTTCTCCAGGTCTGAGGTGTAGCTTGTAAAAATTTCTCAGTGCAGCTTCTTCTTTTTCATGTTTGTATGGGCAAGGCTCAAAGTGTGTTTTCTCTTTTTTTCCTGGTATCACTGAGATGTGTTTCTCCTGATATACAACCAAAAAGACAAGCACTGATAGACATAGAAACTATTTGATATACGTAAGTGAAACTTCAAATCAAAAGGATTCATTAAGAGAGGAATAAGAAGAGTGTTGTGGCCACTGATTGGGAAAAAGAGGAGATAAATTTCAAATTTGTAGACTCTGCAGATTCGTATTCATTAGAGACCTTTCATTTATAAATAAGAGGGGAAAAGATAAAAGAAACAAAATTATGGTTCTCATTTGCACTTAATTTTTATCTTGACATGCGTTTAAGAGCTCCGCTTTCTGATGGTTGAAATTGGCGCCTTTGTTGTTCTGAAATGTATCTAAAAATAAAAGTTAAGTGCTAGTGAGGGTATGCTATTTTTTTTCCTTCTTATTCTTCTACATGGGGCCTGGCCTTGTGTATAGTTTTTCATCATCCTCTCAGTTGCCTACATTTTTGACTTATTTAAGGATTTTTAACGGAAGTATAATTTATCAATTAGTATCATAACGTCAAATAATCAGCAACTATTTCTCATGAAATAATCACTGAAGGATCATAGAGTTTTGAAAAATACTGTGAATTCAGATGGCAATCTAGACTGTTAAAACGCTGGTGCATAGAATTAGACAATAAAATTTCGTAAAAATTCTCAACAAATAGGAGAGCAAGGTTCTCCAAGTCATCTCTTAGTTTATTTTTTTGAGTACTGACACTTGGTCCATAAAAATCTTTTAGGGAGAGATTGCTTTTATATATTGTTTCATTTGAAAGTAGTGGATGAGTAATTTTCCCAAGAATGAAGCAATGGTCTACCTTCATTTTGCCCATTATTAGATCCAGATCACTTTTCAGCTTTTCTAGATTCTTTGAGGGAATATCCAAGTAATGCCGCATCATATAATTCCTAAAGCAAGAGATTTCCTCCTGCAGTGAAGCTAGAAATTTAAAAAAAAAATAATAATAAAATATAATTGACGGGGTTAACTTTGCATTACTTATTGCTTCAAAAATCGTAGCGTTTAATTTGGAGCATGCATACTTTTAGGCCTTGATTTCCCTAATTTATCAAGACTTCCAGACCTTGGCGATTTGACAGTTTTGGCTCTTGGTTCATATTGAATAACATCTTCTTGAATTGTTTCTCTTTACTTAATTTTTTTACAATTAGGTACAAGTAAAGATTATTATTTTTTGGAAGGACGATATATGGTGGAGCCGTAGAGTTGGTACACTTAATGTGAACTAAACTGGAAGTTCTTTACCACCACGTCCTTCCGATCCTCCCCTATATTATGGCTCAGTGGCGTGGCGTGCTTTGCGATATATCGATTGTTGTTCCATTTAAACCTATGGAAAAGGATCGATATTCAGGGTGTTCGCAGCGAACACCTTAGTAATCGATCCTTTTCCATAGGTTTAAATGGCAGAACAATCGATATATCGCAAAGCACGCCACGCCACTGCTATGAATGGTACTAATTTTAAAATCATGAACAAGTCACATACTCGTAGCTATAGTTTGAAACTCATTTGTACCCACTATAACTTCAGGAGATGAATTCTTGAAATTATTTAATTCTTACTTACGCTTTTTATGTTCCAATGTCTGTTTTGCATCGTCTGGAATAGATCCAGATGAAACTCTAGCCACGAAAATTATCAGTCCGAAAAGAACGTAAATATTAGTCCGAATCATTTAAACTTCGTCGGGACGTCCCGATTTAATATTTCTCTCCTGTCAGTAGTAACCTATCACCTTCGTCTAGAATATCCTGTATACAAACAAGCACGTTTTCATTTTTCTCTCCTTCTTAACAACTTTTCTCATACCGCTGATAATAATCAGAAGTCATCTGATAAATCAATGAGCACTGATAATTTGACCAGAATTTTTTTCGTTTTGTTTGGGCATGGAAAAGCCCATATTGCGCATGCGTATGCAAGTGCGTGTCTAGTTTAGTTTTTGCCAAGTTTTTTCTTCGTCCTAATGAAATGTCTCATGAATAGTTACAGAACATTAACTTTTCTCTTGAAAGGGGAAATTATCAATTTTAAAATTAAAAAAAGATTATTATGAGGTATCTAGAACATCATGGCCCGCTTACCCCCCTTACCGTCCAGTAGTTATAAGACTCAGTACTTGATAATACATTCTCAAGCAGTGAGCATTTTAATCACTGGAACATAAATGTTAAAAAAAAAACTTAACAAAAACAGTCATTAATTCTGATCTGATGGCCTGCAAAATATTTTCAATGGTGATGAGCGAGAAAATATTGGGTCATCGGAACATGAAAAAGAAACAAAGGCCGGACCAGGGCTGAGTAACATGGGAATTAAGTAGTGATCACGCATTCTTTAGCCGCGTTTCGTCGGCCGCTGACGCTGCGCGCAAAAAACGCCTTCAATTGAAGCCGATACCAAACCAGACGCTGCTGGTGGAATAGTTGTATCTCGCGCCGTGAAACCACCGCTCCGCGTTTTCAGCTATTTTTACTAGTCAGTGGCATTCATCCGTCACTCATTCGTCCATGCCATCATCCCTTCCATGTAGATCAGTTATGTTTTACGTTCTGAAGAGTGTGATGTTGCAAATAATTCAACCGCGTGAAATTCTACTTCGATTTCTATTCTTACCGATTTACCAAAACCAATCCAAGGAAAATCACATTTTTCCTGTTCAAAGCTCATTCCTCAGAACAATCCTATCTTTACTTAAAATGTAATCTATTTTATACATGATAAATAAAAAATAGAATCGCGTTTTAAAGGTTAACGCAGTTAACAGAGCACCGCTTAGGAATAATAATAATAGTGGCCCCTAACCCAAGGAAGAAAATAATTTCTCCATTATTTTCTGAAAAATTGGAGGGACTTGTTCTCCAAATGGGTAGGGAAAGGTTTTTTTTTTTACTGGTGCTTTGCAAGCAGTGGGGAGGGTCAACGAGTCGGCTAAAATGTCGCACATAATACTTGAAAGGCCCATTACATGAGTGTTTCAAAGTTCTGATTCCCAATTAACGGAGAAACTCTACGAAAACGCTACCAATTTTTAGCGATTTTTTTCTTTTTTTTTTCAAGTTTTGGGTAAAATCTTTGAGCTACTCATAAGATACAAGAATAGAACCACCATATGCAATTTCAGTCGTTATTTTTAAAGCAGGTACATTTTGGGGTCTGAAAGTAGAACCATTCCATTCTCTCACGGTTAAAAAATCAATATTTTTTGAAGAGCACTACTAGGAGGCATTCACAAACTTTTTGTTTATCTAATTTTTCGTCCTCTTTTAGTCAATTTGGAAGTTAACATCTTGTCAAGTCAACCGCCTGTACCGACAAAAATTATTTAAACTATGACAGAAAACATAAGAAAGAAAGAAATGTATGAAAGTCTGAAAGAAATAGTACAAAAACATATTTAATTTTCACGTTTTCGATTATTAGAGTGGAAGCAGGGTCCGCGTAGCGTGCAATATGAGAATCATGTGTCATGTCTCAGATCTCATCCATGAATCCTATCCTATGAGTACCTTTTCCGTGGCTTGCCAACTGATAGAGCGCCTTCAAACCGAAAGAATACCATATCTCCTACTCTGAACTTAATAAGTTTTATTGGAGAATAGGAGTTACATTGTACCGCGGAGCGTAAGAAACGGCAATTCGTGCCACGTTTTTCAGTTTTTACTCAGCAAGAGTACGATTCGCTAAAATTCTCAGTTGCCACTTTATTTTAGAAACAACAAAAAATAATGAAAAAGAAAAATCAATTCAGTTCAATATTAATCTGAATCATAATTTCCTAGGTAGGTGTGTCCAAAACAGCATCCCAGGGTAGTTGGAGGAAAATTATTATTAAAAAAAGGGGAAAAGAAAGGTTCAGATGAAAACAGGACATTAAGCCCTCTCAAGCTTGGGTGGGTCATTTTGAAGATTTTTTTTTTAGTGGCGTATCTAAGAAGATAATTTCAAAATAATCGTGAATAATTTTAAGGGAAAATAGAACATTTTCTCGGTTAATGAAATCAATATATAGAACTAGACATACGTGGTCATGAACCTTGGGTTTTTCCTCTTGAGTTTCAGGGATTATTTAAAACGTTTAATTGCTTTAAAGATAATTTAAAATTGCTAAAAAGCTCTCTGAAAAATACTATTATCTCGTGCTTATATATGTTAGTTTTGGGCTGAAAAGTGATTATGATCAATAAGGTTTTTTGGGGGGCTTAATGGATCGTTGATAGCCCGTTCCGTTACCGTATGGGGGACTGTTGTCACAGGTATAGCAATCCTGCGGACCCCAGCTGGTAGCCCCTGCCTTAAAGGGGATAGTGGAGATGGTCACCGGCCTCTGGGCGTATGAACCACCTGCTAGAAGGGCAGACAGGGCTCTCAGCTGAAGCGAAAGCAACCTGTCTAGGAGAGGCAACTCCGAAATCAAACCCTGGTCCTCCAGGTTGGGGGTTGAGTCATCGGGCTGACTCCCCGGTACTTGTAAAAGGTTTCACTGTCAAAAGACCTAACGTAACAAGCCTCGGTACCACTGGAAACAAACGGACACGTCGACAAAAATTAAGAAAACGGACATTGATATTTGGGACGTGGAATGTCCAAGGCATTTCGAATAAGCTACCGGAAGTGATATCGGAGGTCCAGAAGCTTGAGGTGGATGTCGCTGTTCTTACTGAGACCAAGAAGAAAGGGCACGGGTCAGAGAATTACGGTGACTATGATCTATTCTACAGCGGCGTGGCCAAAGATCAGCGTGCTCAGCAAGGAGTAGCAATACTCATGCGGAAAAGCCTACGTAAATTTGTGGGCACCTGGGAGGCCGTCAACCAGCGACTTATCAGAATGAACCTCAACCTATACGGACATAAGATCACGCTGCTCGGAGTGTACGGTGTAAATGATGATGCCACTGTCGCGTGTAAGGACCAATTTTTTGAAGATCTGAATGATGAAATTCTGAACGTTGGTGCTGGCAGGGAGGTCATTCTTATGGGTGATTTGAACAGCAGAACGGGACGAAGAGTCAACTGTAAAGTTGTCGGACCGTTTGGAGAGGATGCTGTTAATGATAACGGTGATCGGCTCATCTCAATTTGTACTCAAAGTGAGATGAGAATTTTGAATGGCTTTTTCCAACACAAAGACATCCATAAGTATACCTGGGTCCAGCCAACGCGAGGATTGAAATCCATCATCGATTATGTGATTGTTAAGCACTCTACTAAGCTGAAATTACAGCAAGTTAGAGTGTGCAGGGGACTGTCTTGCGGCAGTGACCATCATTTCCTCCGAGCAGATATAGCGTTTCCCGTTAAAGGAACTAAGGATGTAGAGCCAGTGCCTGAACAACAGCAGGGACAGGGGATGCAAGAGCGTGAGGTAAGATACAACATCGAAAGTTTGGAGCACCCTAGTGTCAAGGCTCTGTATCGGAAACGCTTGGATGAGAAGTTGGGGGATGGGCTTTCGGGTACCACTGAAGAGCAATATCATTTCATTAAAGATTGTATCCACTCTGCAGCTAAAGAAGCCCTAGGTATTTGCAAAACCAGCAATAAAAACCAGCATCCTTACTGGTGGGATGGAGAAATTGAAGACGAGATAAATCTCAAGAGGCAAAAACATCTTATATTTCTGTCGTCTAAAAAGGCTGAAGATAAAGTTGCTTACAGGAAAGCTCAGTCTAAAGTTAGGAGCCTCATAACACGGAAGAAGAATGAAGCTTGGGAAAGCAACTGTTCTAGAATTAACACCTACCTAGGGGGGAGAAAAAGTGCTGAGAGCTGGAAGTTAATTAAAGGTTTACGTAGAGACATGAAGCGCGACATCGTTTCTCCGATATCACTTAAAAAACTGGAGGATCATTTTAAAGATCTTTTGACGGAAAGGCGCCCAGAGTTTCGAGACAACAGCACGGACAACGGAAGAATGAACAACTTGGAGATCCACACTTGTGACATAATTAAAGCGGTCAAAGAGCTGCAAAATGACAAAGCACCGGGTCCTGGTGGGATTCCTGTCGAGTTGGTCAAGTACGGGACTGCCAAGCTCTTTGAGTGCCTCAGAAAACTGATGCAACAATGCATCAGGGGTGACGAGGTACCAAGGGAGTGGAAGGAGTCTTGGATCAAGGCCATCTACAAAAAGAAGGGAAGGAAGGACGACTGTAACAACTACCGGGGGCTCTCAGTGACCGGGACAATAAGCAAAGTGTACGGGAAGATACTGAAAGCGAAGATCGAGGACGAATGGCAGGATCACGAAGCAGAGGAGCAGGCTGGTTTTAGAGCTGGCAGGTCTACGATAGATCACCTCTTTGTTATTGTCCAGGTCATTGAGAAGAAAATGGCCGTAGCTCAGGAGCTGCATTTAATTTTCGTGGATCTCCAGAAAGCGTATGACAGTGTGCCGTTGGTGAAACTTTGGGAGGCCTTGGAAAAATCTAATTTTAACGGGGGGTTGATTGATGCTGTCAAGCGATTTTATAAAGGGAGTTTTACCAAAATTAAGTATCATGGGGGGTTGTCAGCGGGATTTTATGTGACTAAGGGTTTAAAACAGGGATGTTGTTTGTCGCCAACATTATTTAAAATTTATCTCGAATGTGTGCTTAAAGAATGGAAAAAGAAATGTTCTGGTATGGGTGTTCCCTTGGGTGATCTTGAAACTCTGTTCACTCTGTGCTTTGCTGATGACCAGGTGGTGGTTGCTCAAGATCAAGATGACGCGGAGTACATGATGCGCAAGTTAGTAGAAGAATATCGGAAGTGGGGGTTGGAAGTCAGCATATCCAAATCTGAGAAGATGACTTTTGGCGGTGATCAGCAAAGCATTGAGTTGGAGGATGGGCAGCAGATCAAAGGCTGCGAGCACTTTAAGTACTTGGGAGTGCGGTTGACCCAGGATGGAAGGACGGATCAAGCTATCAGGGAAAGGAACACCTTAGCAAGGAAGGCTATAGCGATGTTAAATGGAATCCTCTGGGATCAGCGGATTTCCAAAGATAACAAGAGGAGGATATACAACGCTGTAGTCAAAAGTATATTAACATACGGGTGTGAAGTTTGGCAGCTGAAGAAACGGACACAGGATATGCTAAGAGCAACGGAGATGGATTTTTGGAGACGGTCGGCAGGAATTTCTAGGAGAGATCGGGTCCGTAATGATAGGGTGCGTCAAATAATGGAAGTCGAAAATGACATCGTGTTCGACGTCATGACCAGACAGCTTGTCTGGTATGGTCATGTCAATAGGATGACGGAAGAGAGGCTGCCAAAAAAGATGCTTGATTGGGTTCCTCCTGGGAGGAGACGGAGGGGACGCCCAGTGAGAGGTTGGCGACAGGGGGTGTTGAGTGAGATGAGGGAGTGTCAACTCCCTGATGACCTGTGGGAAGACCGAGCTTTGTGGCGATTGGGCGTCGCAGAGCGCCGAAGAGCGCTGTAAAAGCGACTCATATGTATGTATGTATGTATGTATGATAGCCCGTTCCCAAAGTATTGGAGTCAAATTTGCTTTATAAAGTGATACATTTTTGTGAGCACCAACATGCGTATCTACGGCCGTAAATCAATGATCAGTGATCCTGAAGCCAAAAGCTCGAGCCCGAAGTTGCACGGATTATTTTGAGACTGTTTTGTGCGTTTCCCAAAGTTGTGAATCACGGATAAGCAATTGAAAATCATCGATGAATTGAAAATAAATGTTTTAAGTTTGCCGACAGTATTGAGTGCGTGCAATCGTGCCTTCTCACGGAAAAAAAGACAGAACCAGTCAAGACATAGATCCAATTCTTTAGCGTGAACGGAGAATCCACCACTCAAATCCGCACTATGACTCACAACGGTTGTTTGAAGTAAATTTTCACCATACCATGGATCCGCACTATGACTCACAGCGGTTGTTTTAAGTAAATTTTCTCTACCATGGGCGTCATTTTTCAAGTGCCTCACCTGAAATTCTCGTTTGAACAGGCAACTTGGTGCGAGCGATCCTCTGATTTCCGAAGTGGCTCATGTACCACTATTCGATCAATAACTACGCGTTCTCTATATCTATTGACGCACAAATTGAAGACAATTATTCTCTGCAGCCAAGAGCCGGAATATCTGGCTTCGTGAATACGCTGTTTGGACCGCGTTAAGCAGAACGGAACCAAGCCACATCAGTTATTGCCAAATTTAATTGGGCTTAATTCTTTACATGAAATCAGTTGTGAGGATTTATGTACAAATTTCAGTGAATTTTCTGCATAGTGCGAAGCAAATTCCTTAAAATGTTCAATGGAATCCGTACAAACGTTCTCGTGTAAAACATTGAATTGCCTGGCTGAATTTGGCAATTGCTGATGCGGCTTGGTTCCTTTCTGCTAAACGCGATCCATTTACGCTCCGTATTTACCGGCCGGAGCTATAGTTTTCACGTACGAACTTGCGACTCCTGCACCCGGAGCTGCGCGGCTTCTTAATTTGAAACGCAGGCCTATACAGTGTGATCAAGGGTTAAACGGCCGAACTGCAGGAGCCGAAGCACCAACAAACCTCCTCTTTAAATTGATTATTCGATATTCTTTTAGATCATTTATGACTTCAGGGCATAAAAGTGTAGAGTAGTACATATTTCACTAGAAAAAAAACACATTGTATCTAGAGTCCAGACTCTTGAAAACATCGACAGGAAAAAGGACTCTTTATTCAATCAGAATTTAGCTTAAATCAAGAACCAAGCATCTTAATTTAAGCGGATTTCCTTTCGATTCAAGCAAAAATCCGATTGAATCAAGAGTATTTTTTCTTGTCAATGTTTTCAAGAGTCTGGACTCTAGATCCAATGTGTTTATTTTTCCAGTCTTTCGTGAGATTTGGTTCACAAAGTTGCAAGGTTGTGTCCGTTTCTTGTCGGTTCACATATGTATAGTGGACCAACGAAAAACTTAAGGGACAGCTTATGAGTATGTGCCAGCCCAGCCCTACGTAGTAATACACTACTATCTTCACAATCGTAGGAAATATGCGTTTTTCTAAGCTCCTCGCTTTAAAAACGACACTTCATGGCACAAGTGTGTACATTTCGTAAGAGAAGTCGTTTCATCCAACCCTTGTGCACTACGATGCTACACAATATGTAACATGTCTGACGCTCTCGCGCGCAAGTCGTTCTAATGCACAAGGGTTGGATGGAACGACCCCTCCCATGAAATTTTCACTGTGCCGCAGTATCGTTTTTGAAGCGCGTAGCTTTAAAAAAATGCAAATTGCTCACGTAGATTGTGAAGATGGGAGTGTATCAGACTTTTCCGATGCTTTCATTGTGACTTTTGAGCCATTTTCTATGCGAAATAACTTAACTCTTATTCTTGCTCTAGCTGAAGTTTCCAACAGCCTCATTTAGGAAGACTTGCCCCACTGCCGTGCCAAGGAAGACCGCAAGGAAGAACGCCGTATGAACATTCGAGAGTTGCCAAATTTTATCCGATAAAACGCTCATTCTTGAGGAAAGTTATGCATATTTTTCCTGGAAATTTTTAGACAGTTTAGATCAACTTATAAACAAAATTATCTGAGAAATTGACAGAAAAATATTCAAACATTTTCCCATAAATTAGCGATTGTCCTCAATATTTGGCAACGCCTGAAGGCTCATACGGCGTTTTTCCTCAGCACGGCAGTAATGTAAGGGCAAAAAAAAACTGAAGCGCCTTCTTTTTTGTCCGTATGCAACACGGACATCCATACGACAAGAATAGTTGTATCAATGCGCCTTCCGATCATCGTCGCATCATCGGTAGCACACTGAAAAAAAACACACTGGATCTAGAGTCCAGATTCTTAAAAACATGGACAAGAAAAAGTTTTCTTGATTCAATCAGAATCTATCTTAAATCAAGAACCAAGCCTCTTAATTTAAGCGGATTTCGTTTTGATTCAAACAAAAGTCCGATTGAATCAAGAGTATTTTTTCTTGTCAATGTTCTCAAGAGTCTGGACTCCAGATCCAATGTGTTTTTTTTTTTCAATGTACTGCCGTGCTGTAGAAAAACGCCGTATGAGCCTTCAGGCGTTGCCAAATATTCGAGGACAATCGCTAATTTATAGGAAAATGTTTTTTGAAATTGTTTTTTTTTCAGTGTATTGTAAGGGCAAAAGAAAACTGAAGCGCCTAATTTTTTGTCCGTATGCAACACGGACATCCCTAAGACAAGAATAGTTGTATCAAGGCGCCTTCCGATCATCGTCGCGTCGTCGGTAGCACGGTAGTGTAGTAGTGTCTTACGAAGGTGGNGGGGGGGGGGGGGGGGGGTCCAGAAATGATTACTGCGGACTTTATTTACGTTCCGTAGGACTCCTAGGAGTGAAAATAAGCGGATCCCTTCGGACGTCCGGATGCCGGTCCGTGACGTAGGTGGGAATCAGCGGAGGTTACGGAGGCTCCCGTGGCGAGGCGGAGGTGCGTGCGGCGGACTCCCGCGGATTTCGCGCCAGTTACCGACCCGAGTTCCCACGTGCCGGCCGTGCCACTCGCGGTTCCTCAATCCTCGCGTGTTTCGCCGAAATCCCCCGACCGACCCGTATCCCAGTGCTAGCCGTGATGTGAATCCTCCTGGAGTACTATTTTGTGTTATAAGTGTTGTTTTCAGCCATCTCACGCCTTCCGGTCTAATTACAGAGACGTCGGGAAGCAGAGTGGGGGAAAAATCGGTGAGATTTTTCTTTTTAATTTTTTTTTATAAGGCAAAAGAAGTACACACTGGTAAAAAAAGTTGCGTGGATCTAGAGTCCAGAGTCTTAAAAACATTGACAAGAAAAAATACTCTTGATTCAAATGGAAATCCGCTTAAATCAAGAGGCTTGGCTCTTCGATTTCAGGAAAAATCCGGTTGAATCAAGAGTATTTTTTCTTGTCAATGTTTTTAAGAGTCTGGATTCTAGATCCAATGTGTTTTTTTTTCCAGTGCAGGGAAAAATGTTGGGGTAGGGCTTGTCAATCTTTGGATCGTATTTCGCGGAATCAACATGATTACTGCGTTGTAAAAATTGTGCATCCTCATTCTTCATCTTTACTTCAAAAACATACTTATAATAGAAAACAGTTTTTGTACTCAAAATTGTTGATTTGAAAGGGAAATGATACCTACTAGGGATAAATTTTATTACTGTGCACATATGTAGTATTTTTGAAAGAAAAAGAGAGATTTTGGATTGCCTCAATCGGAGATTTTTCCAGTTGTTAATTTTTTTTCGCGAAGTATGTCGGATGAAGTGCCATGTTGAAGTGAGGTTGCATCAAAGGAGGAGGAAGTGTTTGCACGACTTTGAAAACACCAATCTGCTGAATGCGATTTGTTTATCTCTTTTCACTCTTTGATCCGGTTCTATCCTGGAAGGGTTCTGAAATTAAATATTCGTAGTTCCCAATCAAGATCTCGTGTACCAAACAGACAGTGCAATAAAAGTCTAAAATTTAGTCAAATTAAATTGTAAACGAGGATTTGAACTCCCATTGAGATCAATTGGACTCATCTTAACGAAAAAAACCGATTCCTTGACGGTTTAACGTCTTGTTAAGGGAAATAATAGATTGCATCAAGAAATCGACTTATTGGACCAGGTAAAACTTTTTCGCGATAAGGAAACTCTCTGTGTAACGGAGGAAATTTCACTTGGTGGAGTTAACGGTCCCCTTAACACTGCGAGTTTCTCCTTATCACAAAACTGCCGAGCAAACTTTTTTTCCGAGAACGAATTCTATTTCTCCAGTGCGCTCATCAGTATTTCATCAAACGTAATCCCACACTAAATAAATTTCAGTCTGTAACAAGAGATGTTGGCATGTGAAAATCGTCAGAGACTTTTCCTGTCGTTAATTTCTATGTAAAACCTGGCGGAAGTCATTTGTCCAGCATCTACATTGATGCTTAATGACTATTTTCAACGACTCTCTACAAAATTTCGGTTTTTCTCATCAACGTAAATTTGGGTTTTTCAAATTCAATCTTTGGATACCCGAAGACGTTCATTACACCTCCTTAAAATATTTTGTGAGAAATATTTGCTGTTCTCATCGTTGTATTTGCAAAATATCCAAATAGGAATGCTTGTAAAACCTCGAGCGACGTGTGCATTTTTAAGAAAGTACTCAAACCATTTACAGTGGTTTGTTGAACACACCCGGTGATTGTTTAAACCAGTGCACAATTGCAGGTTCCCCATGACAATACCTACAACTAAAGTCCCCGTTCATGTGCTCACTGTCTCAATTTTTGATCTTCATTTGCCTAAAATTGAGAATTTTAAGTTTTTTTCGTGTTTTTGTCAAAACTGGTTGCATTCATTAAGACAAAATGCCCGGGTGCATTCGCTGATTCAGCGCATATTTCTTTGATGCAGTGCATTCGAATCGGCGGATTAGGTGGGCATTGAGAGTTTTTTTATAAGCACGTAAAAAAAGTCAAATCCTATTTCATTGCTTTTAATATTTTAACATTTTAATTTTGGACAATTCGGCTTGAGAGTACCAATGTGGAGCACATGCGAGTTGCTACAACACTAGGATCTGAGAAACGACTGCTTCCTACTCTATTCACACGACTGTGTCAATTGTACGCGTCCAAGATTCCCAGAATCTGAGTACAGAATTTGCTGATGCTTGAGAACTGAGGAATCTCATTCATGATCGTAGACTACTTGGTGAATGGGGCTCTACGTATGTGCTCATACTTACTTATTTTAGTTTACCTTTGAGATGAATAGGAAAGAACAATCCCAATTGCAACCCAAGTGCATACAATAATTCTGAAATTTATTCGCAAGGACGTTCCAGAATTGCATATTTTTCTTAATTTAAACGTTCTTCTTTCCTTTTTTTACGACAAAAAGTAAGAGATATTTACGAAAATGCTGTAGTATCAGCTTACTGTCATTCATTCGCGAAGAGGTGTTCCATGACTGGGAAACAGGGAAAATTCAGTGAAGGAATATTTGTACAAACATGTCACGGAAAACAGGGAATATTAAACGATTTGACGTACGTATAAAATCACATATTTATAACTTAGCGAATGAACGGGATATATTGGAGGTAAAACTTAAACCACTAGTACCGCACATTTTTAGTGTATGTCAATTAAGCGTTATGATCAGAGAAGTTAGGGATTTCGTATCCTGTCAGGATAAACCTTAAAAAGTCGGGAATGTTTTTTTGCTGATATCGAAACAGGCCTTTTAGTGGCAACACTCAGCGGACATTCAAATAAAATATATCCCACGCTTCTTTCGAGAAACAATCGAGTCTCCCGCAGTGGCGTGCGGTGGGTTTAGTGACAGGGCAAGCTCTAGCGTTCGCCATCCGGGGGGGGGGGGGGTTAACGTAGTCTCTTCCCCTCCTCGCGAGCCTCCCTAGAAAATTGGTTAAAATTTTACTATTTGCTCTATTATTCGGATGAAATCTGATGGAACGTCTTGAAAAACTGTGGTTTTATTACTTTCTCTCTTACTTATGATTTCGTTTACTCAACTTGTTTCGAATGTTATTAAAGCATTAGAGGACGGCTCCATGCTCTTAACTCCTAATTTTGCCACTTATTTGAGATATTGTAGTCTTTATTCTACATTATTTAGAATTTTTTAGTTTAAAATTAGAAATTAGAAAAATAAGTTAGAAAATTAGAATTTTCTGCATTTTAAACATGTTTGAGAATTTCCTAATTCATCACTAATTAGATCAAGTGAGCGAAATTTTATAGACTTTAAGGGCATTTGCTCCGAAGGAGCAGCTACAACCGCGACGGAAAGAGGGAGCAAGATAGCGCATCGGAGGCAGAAGCAGCGCGCTGCGGTGCGGTGACGGGCCAAGACATGGCCAAGAGAAGCGAGCTGCGATCGCGCAGCGAAGGGCTCGGACTCGGAACGTACCGCTCTACCCGCCCGCCTTGATTCCGCCGCCGAGCAGTGGCTCTCCGCTCAGCTGATCGCAAGCGATTCTCCAGCGCATGAGTCGGCCCGTGTTTAGGCCGCGCAGCGCGCTGCGCCGCGCCACCTCCATCCGCTCTCTCTCTACGTATTTCTGTCTCTCTCTCTTTCTGTTTTCAATGCAATTTACATACTGAACATCTTTTATAAATTATATTTGCTAAAATGTAAAAAATGCATGTAACAGGTGTAATTTTCTTCTTTCTTTTGAAATCTTTGGGCAAGCAGTGCTTGCCTTGCTTATCCGGACCGCACGCCACTGGTCTCCCGTCATCCCTCCGCTCTGTTTCTTTGAGCAATCGCTGTAAAAACTTTTCGCATTGATTCTCAAGCGTTATTTTGATATATGAGACGTGTCAATCCCAACGTTTCAAAGCAATTTTTTCTTCTTTTTCGGAGGGCGGCTGTTTCAAACAGTATAATTTTCAGGAAGTTTCAGCACAGCAGTCTAAAGCGGCGCTTGGTGTGATACCTGAAGAGTGTCAAAAAACATAAATACTCAGCGTTACATAATTTACGGACAGCCTCTTATCAGAGCTGTCGGGACGAGTCAAAACCCCCGTTTTTCTGGGGCAATCAGTCACGCTCTCGGGCGCGAAAATATTTCCCTCGAACGTCAAAAAAATTTGACGCGAAAACATCTCGAGGAGATATAAAGGGCCGGAAAGCGATTCGAAGCGTTACGCGGGCCCACGCGGTTCCGACGCTTATTTGCCAGACTGTGCTAAAAATGAGCCCTTTTCCCCTATTCTAATCCGTGTATAAATTATCCATATTTCACCGCACAATCTGGCAACTGTGCCTCGGCGGGAGGGCGGGTGGGGGGATAGGGTGGAAAGCGAGCGGAGCGAAAAATTTACCGCGTCAAAGACTAGAATCATGCAAAACAAATCGTACGCGCGAGCCGCGGTGACGAGACGACAGATCCGTAGATTTACGCTGCCGCTTGAGTCAACAAAGGGACAGATTTACGCATTCATTGATAGGATAACTTACGCGCCGGAACACTTTGCCAGATTTGCCAGGTGATCACCGAGCGGCGTCTCCCAAAAATATAGAGCTGGAAATAAATTGTCATAAATTTTCCTTACTTTTTCCTTATACCATTATTTAAGTAAACTGTTGAAAACATAAACTTGCCAAGTCGCTAATTTTAATTTTTATACCGTATTCATTTCATAATGGGTCACCGAAGCTCGTATTTTTTATTTCATATTCCGATAGTACCAAGTGAGGAGATTACGCGGTGATTTATTGCGTATTTTTGGAGCCGAAATCCCGGATAAGCCCGCTTTTAAAAAGTCTATAGACTCGAGGGGGTATTTCAATAGTGCCGCAATGGCGGGAAATGATGGAAGTGCTGTGCCATGGCAGTTAAATCGCCATCTCTTCTCATTTTCCATCGATGTTTGTTAAAATGAAATGTATTACAATGTGGAATTGTTGCTTGCTTACTACCGATAGCATGAATGAGATTCAATTATTTGAATCTGTAAGTTTAGTTTCAACCTTCCTATCGTTTTCATATTAGATAGACTTTCGGCGGAAGTCGTAGGTACCCGCGCTTGATTCTGATTGATGCTGGATGACTATCAGTTATGCGCGAAACCGGGACGTTTCGAAGCGGAAAATTTGCGCTTTTTGAACTGCGGATTTCTTGGTTTCTGAGTTTCCTGTTTGCGTTTTTAGTGTGCTAATCGTGTTCTACGTGTTATTTACCTTCGACAAAT